TTGCTTACAATAACAGTTATCAGACCAGCATTCGTATGGCACCCTATGAAGCGCTCTATGGGCGTAAATGTCGCACTCCTATCTGTTGGACTGAGTTGCGTGATAGGAAAACGTTGGGACCTGAGTTAGTGCGAGAGACGGAGGACACAGTCAGATTAATCCGTGACTATCTGAAAGAGGCATTTGATAGGCAGAAACCTTATGCAGATCAAAGAAGGAAGGATATACAGTTTGAAGTGGGAGATCGGGTCTTTTTGAAAGTTTCACCCTGGAAGAAAGTATTGAGATTCGGGCGTAAGGGTAAATTGAGTCCAAGATTTATTGGACCATTTTGTATCTTGAAGAGGGTAGGACCTGTTGCATATCAGCTTGAGTTGCCTTCTGAGCTAAGTCGTATTCATGATGTCTTTCATGTATCAATATTGAGGAGATACCGTCCAGATCCAGGTCACATTATTCAGGTTGAAGAAGTAGAGCTGAGACCTGATTTGTCATATGAAGAGGAGCCCATTCAGATCTTAGAGAGAGATGAACGAGTTCTTCGAAATAGACGAATTCCAATGGTCAAAGTTCAGTGGAGTAATCGAGGCCCCTCAGAAGCTACTTGGGAGACATTGGAGTCAATGGAGGCTCAGTTTCCTCAACTATTCTCGTAAGGTAAATTTCGAGGATGAAATTTCTTGTAGAGGGGGAGAATTGTAACAACCCGAATATTTACAAAATAATATTAATTGAAATTGGAGGTAAATTGTGAAAATGGGTGAAATTAAGTGACTAAATTAAAATTTATGGAAACTTGTATGCCATTTTTGAAGTAAAGGAAATTCAGGGACCAAACCCTAAATTTCCCCTAAAACTGTCGATAGGCTTGATGATTTAAGCGTGATTTCTGATTTACAATCAGAAATCACAAATGCTATTTCTTTAATTTTCTTCCTCTCACACCTCCACTTTCAAGTCCGATCCAAACGCCGTCCGAATTCCGATCGTTGTTTTGAAACCACCGTTGTGTTCATCATCAAGCGAGGAACAAACCCTTCAAATTAATTGAAGCGAAACGCGGCCAAACGTCGGGAATTTCCAGTCAAAGTAGCGACGGTTTTGTTAGCTCTATCGCCGAGGAAATCTTAAATTCACCGCTGATCGTTGCTCCGTTTACGACACCTCCCGTACCATCGTGTTCCTTGTGCCGTTCCGAGTTCACCGGTGTTAACCTTGTCCGCCGTAGACGGCGGCGCGTGAGGAGGTGGTGCAGTCAAAGATTCGGCCGATTTGAAATCGAGCTCTCCGCCGTTCAAAAATTTGAACCGATCGTTGTAAGTATCTCGAAATCGCTCAAAATAATTTTTAGAAAATTTTTAGGGATTTTTAGGGCCCCGGAGGACGCCTCACGCGCCACACGCGCCGCCGCAGGGCGAGTGGCTGCTGGAAACCGGTTTAACCGGTTTTCAACCGGTTCTGACCAGTTTGACCGGTTTCAACCGGTTCTGACCGGTTTTCAACCGGTTCGAACCGGTTTGACCGGTCTGACTCGACCCGACCGTTGACCCGACCCGACCGTTGACCGTTGACCGTTGACTTTCTTTGACCAAAATTTAAAATGGCTTTGACCGAGCATTAAACGACCGTTAATCTTTTCCGAGTATACCTATCCTGGTAGTTTTCGACGTGCCGAATCCGTTTCCGTGGTCTGTTTTGTCAAATTCGAATCCGAAGGTCTCCAAATCTACGGTCAAAGTGGTTGACTTTGACTTTGACAAAGAATTTGAATTTTCGGAAAGTCATACTTTATGTTTTTTGACGCCCTGATTCCGATTCCGTAATCCGTTTGGCCAAATTCAGACTCGAAATACCTCAAATTGATAGTCAAACCCGAAAAATGCTTATATACTTAAGAAGTTTAGCTTTGAACAATTAAATAGGATTTGGGACTGATAAATATTATTGTTTGAAGGTACAAGAGACTCTCCGGATTGTTCGACAGCTCGACCCAGCTCTTCTAGATCAGTTAAACCACGTGTGCCAGTATTCACCCGTTCGAAAACTGTAGCAGAGCGTGGTGAAACCAGCAATCAGTAGATTTGTTATTTGAATCTATTGTCGAGGTGTGTTCCCTACTTATTACTGAACTGTTTTATTGGTTTTAATATGTGGTACACCGAATTCATTGGTTATTGTTTTATTGATGCACCAATTTAATGTGACAATTTATGGAATATGGCTGCTATTTAATTTTTGTTTTGAAATGGTATATGATTACCATGTTTTTGGATTTATGGAATTTATGTCACGGTGCAATTGAATTTTGGAATTGAATTACGATGGAATAGCTCTGATCAAGCTAACTGGGCCTAATGTGACTCTTGAGGGCCCCAAGATGTTTCATTAGGTCGGCTTTCCTTTGCTGTGTGCTTAGGGTAAGCTATATGGACTTATTGACTTGGGCTTAAGGATACAAGCTTCAGAGCCTATCCTTAAGTCGGTTTTCTTTTTGCTATGTGCATAAAGTAAACTATATGGAAAATAATTTTTGGGAACTACTGATGGTGTACCAGAAAAGGGTTTAAACTATGATTTTCAAAAAGTTAAACTCTTTTACGAATTTGTGAGATTACTGGACTATGATTTGTACCTATTGTGATTTTATGGAAATGTTGGGACACACTGAGCCTATCTCACCTTTTGAAAATGTTTTCCCCTTTCAGATACTGTTGGTTAGATACCTTGGTTCATCACTTGGAGGATCAACATATCTCTTGAAGTAAATCAGATTGTAATATTTTTATCTGGCAAGTTGACTTTATTTTGGTGACATGGACCTTATTTTAAAATATCGGATTTTATAATGATAACTCTTTTGTAATACTGCTCGGTTTATTGTGATATTGAATTTGAAGACATGTTATTTATAATGTGATTTTATATTGATGGAATAACGGTTTCGGAAAATGTCTTTAATAATCATAATGTGATCCACTAGACTTAGTCGAAACGTATAGACCGGGTCTAGGGGTTACAAGTTTATACAATATAATTACATCCTACCCTGTATATATAAACATTTGTACCATTTATTTTCAAAACTTTAGGATTTTTCAAGTATACGCAGAATTGGACCCCATCAATCCAACCTATTTCAATAAAAAAATCCAGATTTCAAAGACAACCCCATCCCGTCCACACATTAAAAAAAAGCAAAAAAGAAAGCAAACACAAATAGTAGCTATTGCATTGACAAAAAAATAAATACGTGGCTATAATAAACAAATGAATAATAATGTAAAAATGTACATATTAAAAATTATAGAATATTATTTTGTTAAGTTTTTCAATTATTAAAAATTATAAAACTATCCTTTAATAATAAGATGTTATTTTTATTGAATCTTCTTATTATAAAAAAATATATAAAATAGGTATCCGATAATTCATATGATTTTATCATAATATAATTAAAATATTGTCAACACACATTTTCGTCATACTAGGATACAAACTATTAAAAATAGGATAAAATTTTGCTAGGATTCAAACTCCTAAAAATATGATAGAGTTCTACTAAGATTTAAATTCCTAAAGATATGATCCACAGGCACTATAAATAGCCATTGTAACTCATCATTGTAACACACGATTTACACACAAAACATAGAGGAAAGCACGGGAAGATACAAAGGCAAAACTATTGTAAATGATTCGAAAAGGAAATAAAAGGTAGCATTTTCTTTTTTCTTTCTTTTGCATGTGCACGTTATTTTTCTTGAGATTTGGTTCAAATAACCAAAAACGTAGGTTGCGCCGATGACCAAAATGGGTGGGGTTTCGAAGTTTCGAACGTAGATCTACCCCGAGGCTTATTTTTAAAAACCGGTTTGATTTTCGGTTAAAGGAGGGGAAGAGCTTTTTAAAAATCTATATTAGTCTATATGGATATTTTATTCATTTATTTTTATTATTCATTTTATTATTATTATATGTATATATATATATATTAAATTATTTTCATTTATTTATTTTTACTATATTTTATTATTATTATATATATATATTTCTTTAATATTTTACTTATAAGTCTAATATTACTATATATATATTGTAATTATCTTTATCTAGTCGTATATATTTTTTATACTTTTAATAGTTTATTTATATATCTATTATTAAATATATATATCTTAATTATTTTATTTGATTATTTCTTTATTTATGTAATATCTTATAACTTTATATATTTATATTATTTTTTATTATTTTCGTTTTTTATTCATTATTATTATATTATTATTATTATTTTTTAAAAAAACCTTGTGTCTTTATCATTATTATTATTAAACATTATATTATATACTACTAATCTAGAGGGCCCATTTTTTTGTCTTATTTCTTACTAAAGCCCCCCCTTTCGGTGAATTGGGAGGGTATCTTTTCTATTTTTAAGTATTTGGTGTATAGCTTATTTATTTTATTAATACTTTGATATATATATATATATATATATATATATATTATATTTTTTCCTTTTTCCAAATATTACTATATATAATTATTACTTTACTATTTTTTTTCTTATCTTATTTATTTTATTTATTTTATTTTTCCCTTGTATCTTATTTATTTTCTTTACCTTGTTTATCTAACACATTTCTCGATTTTTTTAAAGGATATTTTCAAATCAATCAAGGGTAAGTAATTAGGATCGAAACTTTACCTTTTAATTTAACTTGTTATTTTTCTTAATTAAGACAACTGGAAATTACGTAGTACCGAAAGAGCGGTTCAAGGGTGCTAATCCTTCCTTTACCGTAACCGACTCCCGAGCCCGACATATTTCTGGTAAGACGCAGATCAGGTAAGAAATAGGGTATCCGATCAACCCATTTATTTTTAAATAAATGATCGGTGGCGATTCCAATCCATATTTTTCTAAGTCGAAGCCCAATTCAGGGGCCCAACTGAAAGACGGTTGCGACAGCTTGGCGACTCCGCTGGGGACGGTAAGTGAGTCAGGCTAAGGTAATTTCCAATTGTCTTTTTAACGAAAAGGGTAAGTTTAAATTTTAAGGTAATATTTCGATCCTTTTTACTTACTTTTGATTATTTTCGAATAAATAGTTGGACTAATCGTTTTTTCATGATTTCAGCCTTCAAAGTTTTCTTTTTTTCATATAAAGGCTCTATACCCGAGCTCCGAACCCGTTTTAAGTGGGGGGTGAAAGCGACGCATTCGTGTGAATTTATTCATCGTATGGGCCTAGCAAGTAACCTTCGGATTCATATACCTTATGCCTTCGTGTGAATTTATTCTCCGTATGAGCATAAGGGAATGTGTCCTCTCGAGTTTAACTTAGTCCACACAAGCCTGTGATGGGTTTAGGACTAAGGGTCTGGTAAGCCCAAGGGGGCACCAGCAAGGAGAACTCGGGTACCTTTTTTTTAGAACCTAAACCCGGAGACTACAAGGAGTTAGGGCCCACCCCAAGACCTCATTTCAAACCCTAGGATACCGAAATTATTTCCTGCTTTACTTTCTGTTCAAAGCATGTGAACTAGAAATTTATGCGGTTAGGACTTGTTCAAAACCAACTTACGGGATAGAGATCATGTCCGGGTAGGAATAATAAGGATGAGGGGTAGATATCATGTGGGGTAGGATTTTTCATTTTTATTATTATTTTGATTTACTTCACTAACTCTTTTTGTTTTTGTTCTCTTTTATTTTGTTTTCATCACCTGCATCATTTAAAAGAGGTGTTGATCCACCAAAAATGTGTTTGTTAAACATAAATAATCTGAATTAATGGATAAAGGGGTTGTAATACAAGAGATAAAAATACAGAGGACAGTCTACAAGGCGACTATATATCATATTCAATCCTGAAGGCGTGGTGCCCACAATTGAGGAATATATCACTTTGTTGCGTTATAAAAGACTCAGAATGAATCGGGTCTGCATCAAGCACAATGAAAGACTATCTTGGAAAAACTGACTGTCAGAGGTTGCAGGGGCAAGATGAAGGTTACTAATCTTAGGAGTCCCTTCAGAGATAACAATTACAAAACGATAGCTGGAATTGGAGATCATTGCTGACGAATTCAAGGAACAAACTAATGACTTTACATATTTCCTATCAATCGAGGGCTCCAATGACGCATTCGTTGGGGACATGCTCAACAAAAGATAGATGCTAGAGATGCAGTCATTCAAGACTTCTTGGGCCAGTGCAAAAAGTAACTCAACATTGGCACGACCCATCTAGAGAAGCCGGAGTGGTTCGACATGTTATTCAACCAGTGACATACGAATACAGAAGACTAGTCAACATGTCAAAAGCTGTCAGAATATTTTTGTCTCTTAATAGATAAAACACTTTTGTCCCCAATGAGGATTATTCATAATAACAGGCACATTTTTTGGATCAATGCCTCAGATATTTCATGTATCATGCATTTAGACATATTCTGCATTTCGTTATTTTCTTTGCATTCACATCAACTAACAGAAGAATGTCTCAATGAAGGAATAAATACTGGATACACCGCCTCAAGCGTTGGACACACCTCATCCGCATAACACCCGCTTGAAAAAGAAAAAAACAAATGGAGGCCAGAATGGCTCAAATCGAGGAGAACATGGCAAAATTGCATAAAGAACTTGAAGATAAGATAAACCAGATTAGTATGAGTACTCTGAATACAATCATGAAGAACCAAGAATCTTTGGTTGATCAGATTGTTGCCAAGTTAGTTGGCCTACAACAGACCGGTGCGCTTGGGGCAGGTTTACCGGAAGGGGTAACTATACCACCTACCCCACAAGGGGTTGTCTCACCTGAAATCTTACCCGGATTACAAGAGGACTCATATTCTATCAAGGGGAAAGCTATATCTGGTGCAAATATACAAGCTTCCATGACCAACACTCATCCGGAAGACTATCATGTCCCGGATTTTGACGAGGAGGATAAGGAAAAGAAGATGGAAAAGAAGATCAAATCAAGTTCAAAGTTTAAAGTTCCTGAGTTTGAGAAGTTCGACGGGAACAACTGCCCTTCAGCCCATATCACTATGTTCTGTCGGAAGATGACAGGATATGTAGGGAATGACCAACTCCTGATCCACTGCTTCCAGGAGAACATGTCCGGTTCAACTATCTGGTGGTACAACCAGCTCAGCCGAACTCATATCAAGACATGGAAAGACTTAGCCAAATCTTTCTTGAAACAATACAAGCATATCAACGATATGAGACCAGACCGAGTTATGCTACAAATCCTGGAGAAAAAGCACAATGAAAGTTTTCGACAATACGCACAGCGTTGGAGGGATTTGTCTGTCTAAGTTCATCCACCCTTGGATGAAAATGAAACTAAAAAGCTATTTTTATAGACCCTGAAGGCACCTTACTTCGGGCACCTGGTGGCAATTACATCGGGAACTTTCTCAGATCTAGTTATGGCTGGTGAGATGATCGAGCTAGCTATAAAATAAGGAAAAATTGAGGGAGATATCAACAATGTCAGTACCTACAACGCCAACAAAGGTGTTACGGTCTCAAGTCCAAAAACTGTTGCAGTTGTACCGTCTAGTACTTCTAAACAAACTCAGAGAGGACCAAGGAAAGAAAAGATTTGCATCAGTCCAATCCCAATGACATATGAGGAGTTACTCCCAACGCTAGTTGAGAAAAATCTTGTGACTCTAGTTCAATCCAAACCTAGAGAGGCCTCATATCCTGAAGGTCATGATATTAACGCCGTATGCAGCTATCATATTGGGAGCTCAGGGCACACCACTGAGAATTGTGGGGCATTGAAACGTAAGGTCCAAGATCTGATCGATTCAAGGGCATTTACTTTCAATATGTAATGGGGCATTCTGATCGAGAGTCATATGGGGCATCCATTAGGAATTTTGTTGCATTATCAAGTATATCATCTTGTTTGAACTTGTTTTTCTTTCGTACTTCTTATGCGTGAACATTTTTAAGTCACTTGACGTTTAAACATTTTAAGTCACTTGACGTTTAAACATTTTAAATAAAATACTTCCTTCTTAGGAGATGAGCAAATTTTAATCTTGAATTCCTTGAATATCACCTCAATTAAAAACTGTTTAATAATTGAGGTTGTAAATCTTTGACAAATGACAAGATTGAACCCTGCAAAACAAAGACCCCTTGGTCCTAATTTAAAAGATACATCAGACTACATATTTTTCTCTTACCGAGCTAAGTTTTCTCTTCTCATGAAGAGTCCATCCAAGGTTTGGTATTCAGACACGTATTAAGAGCGAACAGAATAGGGTAACTAGCACATAAGATTGCAAAACTAATTGGTTTATACCCTTGTTTATGATGTTCAGGGATGATAATGATATTCACAGATGGAATAGTCGAGTAAGCAAATCTAGTTTAGGTCAGTTGTTTGGAAATTGAACTCTAAAGATGAGATCTTTTGACTTTCAAAAACACCTAGACTATAACAGGTTCTTCTTGACAATCTTAAGAAATTAAATCCGTAAAGCTGAGCTATTCCATAAGGCAATTGGTTATAAAGGAAACTCGAAAGCCCTGGCTTTATGAATAGATTATGTTCAAACTATGACACTGCTCGGACACTTGGCAATTCGGTGTTTGCTCCATTGCTTTTGTCAGGCCAAAGACTTTGTGATGAGATGAACCCTTCAGTGATTTGTCCCTCTAAAGCTGAGCTATTCCACTAAGGCAATTGGTTATAGAGGAAACTCGAAAGCCCTAGCTTTATGAATAGATTATGTTCAAACTATGACACTGCTCGGACACTTGGCAATTCGGTGTTTGCTCCACTGCTTTTGTCAGGCCAAAGACTTTGTGATGAGACGAACCCTTCAGTGATTTGTCCCTCTAAAGCTGAGCTATTCCACTAAGGCAATTGGTTATAGAGGAAACTCAAAAGCCCTGGCTTTATGAATAGATTACATTCAAATCATGACATTGCTCGGACACTTGGCAATTCGGTGTTTGCTCCACTACTTTTGTCAGGTCAAAGACTTTGTAATGAGATGAACCCTTCAGTTAAACCTGATAAAAGTGATTATAAGCTGTCCCTCTAAAGCAATTGGTTGAACGCCCCGACTTTATGGATTCGGCTAGCCAGACAATGGCAAAATAAATCAAATTCATCTAAAAAGAAATTTTCGATAATAATAGACTAAGGGAGTTGAGAAACACCTGTTATAGTCAAATTCACACGAGCACTCAAGAATTTCATTTTTTAGACCGATATTTCTGCACTACCTTTGTTAGAAGAGCTTACGAAACTTGAACAAATTGAAGATTTCAGAGAACTGAAACAGAAGTGTTCTGAAAGGTCTAGTCATTGATTATGCTAGTTGTGTCATTTTGTTCGCCTCTGATCAAAATACCAAATCAAGAAAGAGGGGCATGCCATGATCTTCACGATAACCAAATCGATGAAACAAACCCACCTCTAGACCAACTTTTCGATCTTGATATTTGTCAAAGATTTGCAGCTATCAAAGATTAAAAGAGTGTTTGATTCTTTTGATATCCAATGAACTCATGTTTTATGATTTGCTTCAATTGTGAAACCTAGAAAGAGGTAACTTTTTCAAAAGTTCTTTTTGATATTTTTCAAAATTTTGAAAATTCGAAAGAAGAAAAGCATTTTCAAACAAGATAAGTTCTCTGGAAGCATATCTTGGAATTCACCAAATATCGCTTCGAAGCTCAAGATCGAAACAGAGGCAAAGGAAACCATCTTTGGGGCAAAATTTGATAAGGGAAGGAAAAATTGTCTTGAGGTCTGCAAGAGTACACCCTGGTAGAAATAAAGACAAATTAAGTCAGAATGAAGACTGCACACGCAGCCATTCCCCTCACATCTCAACATATACATCAACACGTACATATATGACGTATGAAATTTGCATCTTTGAATTCATCATCATGAGCAATAAAAACCTTGATTTTTCCTCTCTTGAGGGCAAATTCAACAGCAAATAAATTTCATTTGGGCATACATCATCAGGATAGTTACATCCATATACATTTTACAGATCTTTCAGGAGAAGATGAGATTAAAAGCCAACTCGACAGATTGAAAGATCGACATTCATCTCCAGATTCAACATTTCCAATATAAACTTTGTCTCACTTAAGACAGTCTCATTTAATGCAGATGATTATCTCACTCAAATTTGTTTTTCTTAAAGCATACTTTGTCTCACTTGAGACTGTTTTTCTCGAAAGAAGATTTATTTCACTCAAGATTGTTTTTCTTAAAACAAGATTTGTCTCGCTTGAGACCGTTTTCACTCAAAAGAAGGCATTTTATTTCACTCAAGGCTGTTTTTTTAAGAAGATTTTATCTTGCTTGAGATAGTTTCCCTCGAAACAGAAAATTTCGTCTCCCTTGAGACAGTTTCACTTGAAAACATTTCCCTTGAAATTAATTTTTTCTCTCCTGAGATAGTTTCACTCGAAACAGAAAATTTTGTCTCCCTTGAGACAGTTTCTCTTGAAACATAAACATTGAAAACATTTCCTTTGAAATAATTTTTTTTTCTCTCTTGATATAGTTTCCCTCGAAACAGAAAATTTTGTCTCCCTTGAAACATAAACATTGAAAACATTTCCCTTGAAATGAATTTTATCTCGCTTGAGATAGTTTCCCTTGAAACGAATTTTGTCTCCCTTGAGACAGTTTCTCTCCAAACATAAACTTTGAACACAATTTAACGAAATCTTTGAATATGTTTTCCTTCAAACAAATTTTGTCTCCCTTGAGACAGTTTCTCTTGAAACGACACAATTTGCTTGAGAATAGATTTCAACTTCACGACGAAGGATGTCTAGCTCGAAGCCAAACATCCGCGATTTCAACTCCACGACGGAGGATATCGTGACACTCGAGACAACACAAGTTCAACTTCACAACGAAGGGATGGCTGGTTGTCAACAAACAACTTCTCAATTTCAGAGCCAATTTCAACTTCACAACGAAGGATATTGGACTCCAGACAACGCAAGTTCAACTTCACGACGAAGGGACCGCTGCTTGTTAACAACAACTTCTCAATTTCAGAGCCAATTTCAACTTCACAACGAAGGATATTGGACTTCAGACAATGCAAGTTCAACTTCACGACGGAGGGACGGCTGCTTGTCAACAACAACTTCACAACGAAGGATATTGGACTCCAGACAACGCAAGTTCAACTTCACGACGAAGGGACCGCTGCTTGTCAACAACAACTTCCCAATCTCAGAGACAATTTCAACTTCACAACGAAGGATATTGGACTCCAGACAACGCAAGTTCAACTCCACGACGAAGGGACCGCTGCTTGTCAAAAAAATTCATTCAGAGTCAATTTCAACTTCACAGCGAAAGATATTGGACTCGAGACAACACAAGTTCAACTTCACAATGAAGGGACGGCTGGTTGTCAACAAACAATTTCCCGGTTCCAGAGCCAATTTCAACTTCACGACGGAGGATATTGGACTCGGAACAATGCTACTTACTTGGATTTCAACTTCACGACGAAGGATATCCAACTCAAAGAAGGATTATCTGCCATCAAAATTGTCGAGTTCGACTCCATTCAGCTCGATGACACATCAATCGCACTACTTTTCGGTTGCAGTCGAGGTTTTCAAGTCGAGAAGATGACCTGGGTTAGCCGTGCCTTAGTGACAAGCAACCATTTTCAAACAACATAGCTTAAGTCAAGAAAAAGCTATCTGTCAATGAAGATTTCTGAGTTCGATTCCGATCCAGGGTCTTTAAACCGAGAAGAAGACCGAAGAGTAACGGGAAGCCACGTGCTGATTCAAATTCCGAACTACGGCTTCAATTTCATATCATTTCAAGATGAACTCGACTTCACGATGGAGGAGTCATCCGTAACTCAATTCGACAGGGAGTTATTGAAACATCAGAGTTAATTTTCAACTCCACTGAACGAAAAGTGTGTCTTTTAATCTTTGCCCTATCCCCGTTACACGACTATGGGCAAAGAGGGGCAGCTGTCAACACACATTTTCGTCCTACTAGGATTCAAACTCCTAAAAATAGGATAAAATTTTGCTAGGATTCAAACTCCTAAAAATAGGATAGAGTTCTACTAAGATTTAAATTCCTAAAGATATGATCCACAAGAACTATAAATAGCCATTGTAACTCACCATTGTAACACACGATTTACACACAAAACATAGAGGAAAGCACGGGAAGATACAAAGGCAAAACTATTGTAAAGGATTCGAAAATGAAATAAAAGATATCATTTCTTTTTTCTTTCTTTTGCATGTGCACGTTATTTTTCTTGAGATTTGGTTCGAATAACCCAAAACGTGGGTTGCGTCGATGACCAAAATGGGTGGGGTTTCGAAGTTTCGAACGTAGATCTACCCCGAGGCTTATTTTTAAAAACCGGTTTGATTTTCAGTTAAAGGAGGGGAAGAGCTTTTTAAAAATCTATATTAGTCCCTTTATTTATTATATGGATATTTTATTCATTAATTTTTATTATTCATGTTATTATTATTATATGTATATATATATATATTAAATTATTTTCATTTATTTTTTACTATATTTTATTATTATTATATATATATATTTCTTTAATATTTTACTTATAAGTCTAATATTACTATATATATATTGTAATTATCTTTATCTAGTCGTATATATTTTTTATACTTTTAATAGTTTATTTATATACCTATTATTAAATATATATATTCTTAATTATTTTTATTTGATTATTTCTTTATTTATGTACTATATCTTATAACTTTATATATTTATATTATTTTTTATTATTTTCGTTTTTTTATTCATTATTATTATATTATTATTTTTTTTAGAAAAAATCTTGTGTCTTTATCATTATTATTATTAAACATTATATTATATACTACTAACCTAGAGGGCCCATTTTTTTGTCTTATTTCTTACTAAAGCCCCCCACTTTCTGTGAATTGTGAGGGTAGTTTTTCTATTTTTAAGTATTTTGTGTATAGCTTATTTATTTTATTAATACTTTGATATATATATATATATATATATATATATATTTATTTATATTTTTTTCCTTTTGTCAAATATTACTATATATAATTATTACTTTACTATTTTTTTTCTTATCTTACTTATTTATTTTATTTATTTTATTTTTCCCTTGTATTTTATTTGTTTTCTTTACCTTGTTTATCTAACACATTTCTCGATTTTTTTTAAAGGATATTTTCAAATCAATCAAGGGTAAGTAATTAGGATCGAAACTTTACCTTTTAATTTAACTTGTTATTTTTCTTAATTAAGACAACTGGAAATTACGTAGTACTGAAAGGGCGGTTCAAGGGTGCTAATCCTTCCTTGACCGTAACCGACTCCCGAGCCCGACATATTTCTGGTAAGACGCAGATCAGGTAAGAAATAGGGTATCCGATCAACCCATTTATTTTTAAATAAATGATCGGTGACGACTCCAATCCATATTTTTCTAAGTCGAAACCCAATTCCTGGGCCCAACTGAAAGACGGTTACGACACATATTAATGTCATGTTTAAATAACCATTAATTTTTTAATAAAAAATGACGAATTTAAAATATATTAATAATCAGATAATTATTTTATAATTTTTAATAATAAAAAATTCATCAAAACATAATTGAGATATCATTTTAAAATTTTTAATAATTTGAAAATTTAATGAAACGATATTTTATAATCCGAGATAGAGAAAATAGACAGATTTAACCCGCTATCGCCGTCAGACAATGCATAGAGCGTTTCTTGAAGGAGAATCATGCATTCTAGCAACTAATGACGTTATGGCTTTTGCTACAATTTCTGTCTTATTTCCGAAACTATAGCTACTAGTATATTTACCTAAGTAATTATACAGCTAGGATTTGGCAGTGAATGAGAGCGACCAAATAGATAAGGGGAGAGGGAGAGAGAGAGAGAGAGAGAGAGAGAGAGAGAGAGAGAGAGAGAGAGAGAAGGGGAGATTAGCGGACACCCCACACGGTCTGTGAAGGAGAAAAAAGAGAAGGGGGGAAATCTTCAATCATGCCATCAGGTTCTAAGAAGAGAAAGGCTGCCAAGAAAAAGAAGGAACAAGCTGCCACCAACATCGATTCATCTCCTAAAAACATCCCACATGGTACTTTGCTTTGCTTTTTTTTTAGTTGTGGGGTGGGGTTTGATGATGGGTTCTTTTTCTTCTTATCCATCCACCCATGTGCTCAGTTATTGAATTACTGTTTTTTTTTTTTGGAGATTTATAGTTGGAGTAATCTGCTTGGTTTGAATGTTTAATAGCTAATAGTACATCAAGTTCACACCCTTCATTAATTGATTTGGTCGCTTTTCATTGGGATTATCATTCTTTAATCACTTACTGTTTAAATTTTCTTTTTCTTCTTTTCCTTTTTGAGATTTTCTTGTTTTACGTTTTTTTTTTGCTTAATTTTGACCTGAATTGTTGCTATTAATCAACTGGATTCCAGTATTATTGTATGTCTATTTCTTATGTTATAGACCGGTGCCTTGTAATCTTGGTTTTAGTTGCTCTGTTTTCATCGAAATCGATTGGAACTCATTTTGCTTTATAAAATTTAAAACTCGTCACTCAGTTTTCTGTAGCGTTGAGTCATCTCAAGAGGAGACTGGTTAACTTTTGCTTAGTGATTAGGACTATTGTGATTTTATCAAATGGTGATAGGAAATGGGGATCCAATAAGCCAAGATGAAAGGGAAAGTGATGGCGGTGATGTTGGTTCCCCTGCATCTCAGGGTGACTACAATCACCAGCATCCATTCAATCAGAGTGAAGAAGAAGGGAAAAGGGAGCATTCACCTATTCAGTTACATGCAGCCGAGGAGAAGTCTGCGGAACAGGTCATTGGGAATGCGGAAAACACCGTGATATTAGGATCGAATGATGTTGTTGCTGTTAAAATTGAAAAAGAGTGGGGACCTGAGGAGAATCTTGAGAGCACACTTGTCACTGTTCAGGACATCGAGCATGATAAGAGCTCTAGTAGCAGTTCTGATGTTGAGTCTGAAGCCTCTGAGAAGAAGTCAAAAGATGAAGCCTATAATTTTGGTTCTGAAGTGACCGCATATGGCAATGACGATAAGCCTGTTAGTGTTATATCTGAAGATGTCCTGAAGGTTGTTGAAAATGCAGCAGTCAGAAATGTTGGCAGTAATTCTGCTGCAGGAACTGCCGATGTTGACAATTTGGTAAAAACTGCTGTATCTGTGCAAGAGGAAGTGGATCATGCTACAGAAGTTTCTGCAAACAAATCAGCGTCTGATGTTGATCCAGGGTTGAATGAAAGTGAAGAGAAGTTATTGCCCTCCTCAAATGGCATCTCTAGGTTTGAAAATGAAGGAAAAATTTCCTCATCCTCTGTTACTTATGCTGAAAGTAGTACTGTGGTGGACAAAACTCAACATTTTGAATCCCGTGATCATTCTGAAAAGCAGGTATATCTGGCTCCTTTTCCCCAAAGTTGTGTGTTCGACATTCCCTATTTAAGTTGACTTACAAGGTTTTTTGTTGAATTGGTTCACAGCCTGTTGTTGCTTCAACTCCACCCATGGTGCAAAGAACCTCAGTGTTAAGTTGCTGTGGATTGTTTGCTGTTTTTACTGATTCTGGAAGATAATTGCAGGTTTGGGTTATTCATTGAGCTTCAGAAAGTGTAGTACTTTCCTTTTTAATTTTCAGTACTGCATATTAGGATATGCTGGGTAGCTCATATCCTCTGTGCATGCGAATACCAAGATTATATAACTGCAACTTGATATCTGGAACTTAATGTTTGTTAGCTATCTGGTATTCGTTTGCTATCTTCAGTGGCCTCGACTTTATTGTCCCTTTTTTGTTCGTTCATTGTTGAACTGATCACAAATTCATCCTGGTTGAACCAAATAGACTCAATAAATGATGAAAGGCCACTTGGTAGCATGTTCAGTTATCTCTTTGGTCGATTTTGTTGTATAGTAAATATTTGTCTGAATAATATTTTTATTTTCTTCACGTATCCTCCGCAGAACTCGGTAAATTTTTTCTTGCACAATACCTGGAGGCTATGCATGAATCGATTGCCTCCCTATTCAATTAGTGTTCAACTTGTTGAGGGCATTTGTATTTTCACCTCACCTCCATTTCCAATTTGAAAGTTCAAAATTTTGCTGGCTCAGGAAACTGTTTTTCATTTGTTTGTTTCGTGTAAAGTGTCTTGGGGTTTATGGGTGAGCTTTTTGCGGCTTTGGGAGGTCTCTTTTGCTATTCCTGAGTGTCCTGCAGCAGTGATTTCCGGTTGGTTTGACCTTGTGTCTCGACCATTTGGGGTTTCGTACCAAGAGCCGTTTTGTGGTCCATTTGGAAGATGAGGAATGAGATCGTATTTAACAACGGGAAGTTGGATTTTGCTTTGTTATCCTTTCTCTCGAGGTATAGAGTAGCAGCTTGGTTTACCTCAAAATTTCCAAAAATGCTGATTTCTTTTGATAGCCTAGTGGGGAATCCTTCATTAGCTGATCGTGTTTCGAATCCCGATAGGATCCCTTCAAATTTGGTGAGCTGATCTCTGCCTCCAATCGGTTTTGTTAAAGTGAACGTGGATGGTGCTATGGATAGAATGTGATTGAAAGGTGGCATCGGAGGGTTGCTTAGAGATGAGAAAGGTGTGGTGTTGGGATCGTTCTCTGAGAGAGTTGGTTCTGGCCCTTCTATTCTAGCAGAACTGTTGGCAATTAAGAGAGGGTTGTTGCTTTTCTTAGAATCGGGGATGCCGGTGAATTGAAGACTTATTTTAGAATCCGATAGTGTTGTGGCTGTGGATTGGATCAAGAATCCTGCTGCCACCACCCCGTTGTTCTTTTCCATAGTTAAAGATATCGCCTCGATTGTGGTTGATAAAGGTGTTACTATTAGGCATGCGTTGAGAGCAGGGAACTGGGAGGCGGATGAATTTGCTAAGTTGGGGATAGGCTAATTGGTCGGGGTATTTTTGTTGCATTGAGTGTGTTGTATTTGGGGAACTTTGGTCATTTTTTATAATTGTGTTTTGCTTGCAGTTGGTCGATTGTCTTTAGGATATAGTTTTTATGAGTTCGGCTTGGTAATTGCTATGTTTCTGTAGTTTATTGTAGCTCATTGTTGAGGTGGTAGTCAATGTTGTTTGGTGGTATTGTATTCTTCTTGTACTTGGATTTATGCAATAAAATTTTGAGGCATTCATTTTTATTAAAAAAAAGTTCAAATTTTAATGATTGGGATGTCTATGTGGAGACTCTCTTCCTTCCGATTTCTAGTGTCTAATTATATTCCAGCTGGATCTTGTCTGATACACTATTTTATTTTTAATGCAGAACCATCTTTGGTAGACAAGCAGTTCGTCAAAGTCGCTAATTGTTTTGGTTTCTATACATCTATTTCATTTCAACGCTCAATGATTTCTTAAAAGAGTAATGTGCAGCAGACCTAGCTAGAAAAAACAGTTGCACGTTTTGTGGATGCAGATAGTCGCTAGTTGTTAGTTTCTGGCTTTGAGTATATTCTTTGTTGGTACTTTTGCGGCGTAGTTTCTTAGCTAGGCTCGTGTTGTATCTTGTTCTTGTTTCCGGATTGCGTGGACTGGTTTCCTTAATGGAGTATACCAGGGTTTTTTAGTGTAAACTCAACATGGTTGCTATGTCGGTGTCGAAATCGTGAATTTTTACTCTGTTTCAGCAAATTTATAGTCGTGTTTCTTTGCTAAGACCACTAATAGGAGTCAAATTACTGCTTTATAATCACATGATTTAGGATTTGTTTCTTGAACTTTTCATTCATGAACTAATTAATTAGCATGTCTGGTTTTTTTATTAGTGCTGCTTCAAGGAGAAGAAACTTGATCTCGACTAACCACCGATCTGTTTTGAAACTGATAACCAAATTTTTTCTTGATCGGTTAAGATGAAACCAATCGAATTAAAGTAAATGTGATTGGTTTTGGTCGGTCAGGTAAATCTGTTTTTAATTAATTAGTTCTACTTCAAAGAATGAATTTTACTGCCTTTTTTTAGTTCCACTTCAAAGATAAAGAAGAATTGGAAGATTGGTGTAAGCTCGTCATTGCGCCAGAAATTCTATGGCAGTAAAATCCAATTAAATCGTTCATACCGTTCACGGCATGTCGGTGTAGCATCAGTAATCGCGTTTGCCGGTATCACACCAATTACATTTAAAGAATCAAATGACTCTTTCAATCACATAGCCTTAACCATGTTTTCAGCTTTATGCGCCGCCGTGAATTGCTGCTATGTAGAAAAGTTGTGTAACTGTAAGGATGATTATAAATGCTTCCATTGTTCTTTACAAAAGAAGAGATGATTCACGTTAGCCGATATATAGTCGAAGAGTTTGGCTGAGTTGAGAATCGCCGGAGTTCTAAATTCCGTTCATACCAGACGAGCGTTCCTGACTTGGAGCTAAATTTCTTTGCATGCAAATCTGCCAAAGAAAATTTTCTAGTTAGTTTGGAAACATAGCTTGTGCGTGCAGATGCCAGAGTTAAGAGGCTGACCCCATTGCAAGTAAAGTAAGAGTCCAAGCAACGCCGGCTATTGAAGCTGCTGAAGGCAAGCTACCGGCATGACATGAACGGATATGGTTGATATCAGCGATTACTGATGCTACACCGACAACCCCTGCTAACATGGCAAATGTCACGAAGAATCCGGTGGCAGCATTTCCCATGGGGAAGTAAATGGGTGAGAAAGGCGCTGGAAGCTCGAACCCAGGTTCTGCAAGTGCGTCGTAAAGAAACCATCTAAATTAAAGCCTTGAACATACATAATAGGCAGATATTTGAAAGGTGACGTACCGATGATAAAACCATTATCAATAGCTTTATTGACGGCTCATGAGCCAATCCCCAAAACAATGGCATACATGCAGTAAGTTAAGGAACAAAAGCATGGCAGCAACGAGTTTCATTCGAGCATTGGCCATTGCCTCTTTTTGTCCGATGATTTTAAGACAAAGCTGTCGACAGAAGAAACTAAAAGATGCAATGCAAGAAAAAAAATATAGCTGGTACATGTGTGAAAAAACATATTTGCCGTCAAAATGATGTGTTTGGTTCTTTTCTTGCAAAGGCTAGCTGCGTGGTAGGGTTGTAAAGAGTATGCTTCATGGTCAAGACAAGGCAAACCTTCTAAACAAACACCTAGATTCTTGCCAGTTGATGAGGCGGCGATTACAAGATTATCGTAAGACATACGATGATTGTATTGCCCATTTATTCACTAATTAAATGCTTAATACAGAAAAAAAAAAACAAATATATTTTTTTTCTTTTTAAAGGGTCGAAAATGAATTAATAGACAATTTTTTTAAGCATACAATAATGATCAAGATTAATTATTTAAATATTACACGCATTCGAACTATTCAAATGCGCAAATATTTTTATATGAAGAAATATCATTCATTAATTAAAAAGGATTACAATGAGTCAATTCGAATATCCATGGTCCCATTTAAAAAAATAGCAAAAGATAAGGTACCTAGATGCTAAAAGAACTAATGACAATGGCAAACAAGCTAAGAAAAAAACAGCAATTGAAATTTGAACCCTTAATCCACTTTGACCAAAATAGAGGCAAAACTCATAAATGCATAGAAAGAGGTTTAAAAATAATATCTTAGGACATAATTGTACTCGAAGTAATAATTCCATGATACAAACAAAGTCTTGGTTAAAAATGTTATTGTCATCTAAAACAACAAAATTACCCAAATTTTGCAATAACGCAAACAAAGCTTCAATTCTAAACATTTTGATCTTATTTACGCTTTGGGATCCAATACTATAATTGGCCCAACTTATTTTGATTTCCCTTATTTTAAGGTAAACTATGCGTTTAGTACCTAAACTATCAATTTTAATCATTTTTAGTATTTGAATTTTTAATATTTTTCAAATTCATATTTAATGTTTAGTTTTTGTTTCATTTAGTACCGTCATTAAAAAACTTAACGTATTTAATATCTAAACTATCAATTTTAGTTTATTTTAGTACCAAAACTTTTAATTTTTTCAAAACTTAACGTTTAGTTTTTAACATGGTACTAAAATGAAATAAAAAAAATAAACATTAGATATGATTTTAAAAAAATTAAAAGTTTAAGTATTAAAATGGACCAAAATTGATAATTTATATACTAAATACGTAATTTACTCCTTTTTATAGAAAACATTATAAGATTTATATAACATATTATTATTATTATTTATTAATCTAGGGTGATTAATGCTCAAATACCCTACAATCACTAGTACTTGAACTCAAAACCTCTATGAATAACAATCATCATTTCAACCACTAAGATCACTTGATTCTTGCAACATATTATTATTTTTGGATGAGTGAATTTTATTTCATTATATATATATATATATGAGGGTAAACTACGCCAATGGTCACTCATGTTTGGGTAAGTGTTCATTTTCACCACTGGTGTTTGAAAAGTCATAAATCAATCACTAACATTATTGTTTGTTATAAAATGGTCACCACTGCTCTTATCTGGTTTTTTTGACCAGCTTTTATGTATACATAGACCAAGAGGTATATAAATATTTAGATCTTAATGGTGAGAAAATGGCTCTCATTGTTGATTCCCAAGCTTGATGAAAGTTTCTGAAACTCTGTTGGCGAGCCAAAGAAATTGCAATCGGGTCATGGAAAAAGTTGCTTCCTTTATGCCTAGAGTTTGTTTGCAGCAACGATTGACATTGCGGCAAAGATCAGCAGGAAGCTGAATGACACGGAGCTGGCAGAGCTTGGGAGTCTTGTTGGTTCTGCTGAACCGTACACCGATTCCCCACCCGATCCGGTAAAAGGTGGGCTCATCGTAAAGGGTGGGGTCAAGGTTGTGGTATCCGGTGGCAGTACGGTGGCTGGTGGCGTTATGCTGGCTGGCGGAGCAACACTGTGTTTACATGTTAAAAGAAAAATATAAGCACACATGTATAGCCTTTGTCTTGAAGATTGAAGATTAAACTGATATCAGAGCTGGTTCCATGGTGGTTGTAAGATACTTTGACCTTGTTAGCGAGGATGATGCATGGTGACAGTTTCCTTTACCTGGATAAATATACAAAAGAGTAAATTTTAATTGGAAGAGTATAATTGAACTGTAGTTTAGAAACAACTTATTGTTTTTCACTGCAATGTCATTCTTGGGTCTGTATTTGTAAGCTGAGCAGTGCCTCCAAAAACACAGCTAGTTGGAGCAGGGTGTAATCATTGAAAGCATAAAAAGCATGATCCTGAACAGTGTCGGGTTCATAACAACTTCCACCGGATTGAATAGCAGAGCAGTCCGCACCGCCATATCCGCAAGCATAGTCTAGAGCTACCTGTAGAGCAGTTGGTGAAGCACCTTGATTTGCAATACACCAGGAACCTCCTGACGATGTTGTAGGAGTTGGGGTTTGGGTTGTTGGAGTTGTGATAGGGGTAGTCGGATTGGTGATCGGCTCCGTAGACGGGGTTGTCGGGTTCGGAGTTGTGCCTGGAGTTGTAGGGTTGACAATGGGAACATTATCTAGAAGTGTGGTCGATATTGAAGGGTTTTTTTTTATAACGTAGGACCTCCCAAGGCCAGGCTAAAGAACCCGACCCTACAAGCAACCGGGATTCTCGGTTGCTTTGTTTTCTATGATCGATTTCTTGGAAAGGAGGTTTCCTGGAAATACTTGAACCTAAAGAGATTAAAAGGCAAGCTAAGTATCGGTTTGACAAAAATTTTCCCGAGAAACATTCAGTCATTCAGATGATCATTCTCCTTATAAAATATATTCTCTGTTACCATGATCCATCACCTACCAATGAAGAAAATACCAACAAGATTTCCCATAGAAATATATGAACATGACAATAGACGAAGAAACAAACCATTTTAAAGGCATGGATATAAACATAGTAGCATTCACTTGAACATAGGTAGAGATGCAAGAGAGAGAGTGTAAGAAACTGAACAAGTCTAAAACCCAGTAGAGCAGGTAATGAAAATCTTGTTTAGTAAGAATAATAATGTAGAAGCTAATAGGCATTTATATAATAAAAACAAAGGGCCAATGGAAGTATTGCAAAGAAGGGTCTAGTAATCACCCTTCCATAAAATAAAATAAAATGGAAACATGAAGAATCCAAGCTTCCTTGGATCGAAGATATGGAAACAGAGAAAGCAGAATATAAGGAAACTTGAGAAAGGAGGCATCGGGATGTTGGGATTAGCAAGCAATCAAAAGAAGGGGAAATTAATGTACGAAGTAGGAAAAGGCACAAAAAAAAGGTGGCCTGCCTGCAATTTAAATCCAGTGCTTCTTAAATCATGTACTACTTGTTTAATTAAGACACTGATGTGTGGTCTCTCTCTCTCTTCTCCTGTTTCTGGGACTGAATCTAAAAAGGTTAAAGGTTGGCAGAGGATAATTTTATTATGATTTTGATACAGCAAAGGGATGCCAACATCTTAATGAAGCAAATGCTTGAAGCTTTTTGTTGACACCTCAAACATTACATTTTAAATCTTGCCAAATGTCATTTTTTTTTTCAATTCATAAATTGTGGAGGTAAAGAAAGAAAAAGTAAAGGGGGTAATAGTGTATTAATGCTATGCAAATAACAAAATATATTAACTTCCTCAGCAACAAAAAAATAATTTTTTTGTGAAACAAAGCATACATGAGCTAAACTTCCTGTAAGAAATGAGTTAACTACTTTGTATTGATAACTGAACAAATAAATATTTTCTTTTAATTTGATGATGATGATGATGATGATGATGATAGTATTATATAAAGGATTTTCAGTTGGGGCAGCTGCTTCGTTGCCTCGCGGTAAATCCGTCTTGGCAGTCCCTATTACTTCAGCTGGTATTGTATCCGCTATAACTCCGAATCACTACTGTAATTCCACTTTTTTGGGGCAATTGTCAAAGGCCTGCATGCAAGCAAATCAGCTTTTAAGTCTGTATTTTCATCTTGAATCCATCAAGTGCACATACTGGGCAAGCAAATCCAGACCATGCCTCCATTTAACTGCAGAATTCCATACCATATGTATAGTAAATATCTGACCAGGAAGAGGGGGAAATAGTTGAAAAAGAAACAAAAAAGGACAAGGAAAAACCTGCTTCTAACCCTGTCGAAGTGAATTGCATCTCGACAGATGCTGTGCAACATCACTCCAAGCTGCATACACAACACCGTTAATCAGATATTGAAGATCAGCCAGTTTCAATTCATTGTTAGTGCTAGGAAATCTAAGGTGGCCTTTGGGTTTACATTTGGAGTTTTGAACACCTGGAACTAATAAAGATGGATTTTTTAACAACAAAAGAATCAAATGAGGAACATAGTTTTAGGATTCCTTGCATGAGAGCTCCTCTCCCCTTGAACTACCTGGGAAGTTTCTATAGTCAGGTTCTATTCCATTGCCATTGATATCCATCTGATTTGGTGTCACATACTTTCCGACAGTGACAACCACCCCAGATCCATCACGAAGTTCGAAAACAGATTGAATTAGACCCTGCAACAGACAATACGGGATTATATCAGATTCTGAAAGATAATTTTCAATAATCAAGGCTAATATTTATTTCCATAAGTTCAATAACTAGATCAGTAAAAGACTTGAACTCAATCCTTTTAACATGGAAAACTTTAAACACGGCCTTCCATTTAACAAAATAATGATTTCAGTTTCCAGCCATGAACAAAGTTCACTGTGGTCCCAAAAACAGCGAGTCAAAGACACCAAGCAGACAGTTTAAAACTCATTTCAATTTGATTGGGCAGGGGTGTCCATGATAGACATGATAAAGAAAAGAGAACTGAGAGGGAGCTTGAGCTGCAGCAAACGAGATAAACTTCAAACCTTGCCAAAAGTCCTATCCCCAACAAGAACTGCTCTACAATTATCATGAAGTGCAGATGCAACCTGAAGTAACAATGACAATTTAGAATAAATGCAACTGAGAAAGGGAAATTGTCTTCTATGACCACTGACATATTAGAAAATGTCTAATGTGGCACCCGATCTTAAGTATATATATGCATAATTAGGTACCTAAACTTTCAGTTTGTACATCAACCTCCCCATGGCCTTACACTGTTAAAAATTATCGATAATGTGGTAGCCAATCAACAAAAATTGCCACACATGAATGTTGCACACGTAGATAACATGGGACTACCACATAACATTATGAGAAATGATAAAAAGAAATCAAATTTATGAGAAATCCCCCCAATATATATATATATATATATATTGTAAAATAAAAAAGTTTTACACCTTTTTAGGATCATTGGATGAGGATAAATCAAATTATGAGATTAACAGTAGTCAGTAGGAAATAAGAAGATATTCACTGAAAAATAACAATGAGTTAATCTCGGCATTTAATTTCCCCTCATCAAGCGATCCTATAAGAGTGTAAAACTTTTAGTCTTACACTAGGTGTAAGTGAATCCTAACCTTATATATATATATATATATATATATGGTCAGGATCCAATTACACTATGTAAAACTCTTTTAGTTTTACACATTTTTAGGATCATTGGATGAGAGAAATTAAAGGCTGAGATTAATAGTAGAAAGATATTCACTAAAGGTAAAAAACAAGAACTTAATTTCAGCCTTTGATTTCACTCAAACCAACAATTGTAAAAAGGTGTGCTAGAAGAGTCTTACACAATGTAAGGTGGTGTTTGTTTTTCTAAAAAAAAGGTTTTCAAAGATCTTATGTCTGCTTCGCGCAAACATTTGGCTTCGCAGACCGTTTGTTTTTTAGAAGACAATAGCTCTGAAAACGTCTGTGCGTCCTCTTTTTGGCGCAGACGTGGTTTTGTGTCTTCAAAACTCTTCCAACCTCTTCAAAGAACATTAAAAACAAAAACCCTATCCTAAAAATATGATTTTACAGCGGATCGAGAATATATGACTCAGCTACGAGATGAAATTGTTGAACAATTAATGCAAAATATGGATTGATTTATTTTAAAAATTTTATTATTGTAGTTGTATGGATTATTTAAATATCAGTATTGTAAAACTAAAATTATTTAAATTTCAATATTGCAAAACTATTTTAAGTTTAAAAAATCAGTTTATTTATATTTCAGTTTATTTTAGCAGTCTGCAGACGTTAAAAAACAAACAGTTTTCTTCTTGCAGACTGCAGACTTTTGGTCCACCTCTTCTGCTGCAGATGCCTGCAGACCTTTTACCTCTGCAAAAACAAACAGCACCTAAGTGTTACCTAACCTATATATATATATTTCCTTCTTTCTCATATATATATATATATATATGTATGTATGTATGTACGTACTAGGAAAATACATCATCTTAACTTAAAAAATCCATTTTAAATAATTTTTTTTCACAATTTTAAATTTAAAGATAAAATTGGAATTAACTGTTCTACTTTCTTTCATTTACTCTCGTTTTTCTTCTCTTCCCCTGCCCTTCCTCACCAATGACTAGATCATGCCACAGGAATACTGGCTAATCTTCAAAGAGACCGGAAATGGCCTGATCAGTCAGGGCCCACCTAGTCTGGCAAACCTTGTCAGATAATGACTAGATCAGTCCAAAGTGGGGGAGGATAGGGGAATCAAGGAGAGAAGTAAAAGGGGTAGAGAAAAGGGGGAAAATAAAAGTTAAAACTATTTTTTGACATAGCTAAAAATATTTTTTTGATAAATTCACAAGACAGCTTCTCAGTAGCCACGTATCACCCGTATGTGTGAAATTTATGGATGCACCACGTCATTAATATAGGTATGGTGTTAGGCCATTAGGATATTGATACATGGATTGAAAGTTGAGGAAAATACCTGACAAAACATTTTCAAAGTATCATGATAGAAATTTTCTAACAGATCAGGGTGTATACAAGACATTATCCCATTGTTAAAAGACAAGCAATCATAGATAAGGGGGCAACCGGTCTACTCACAATTTCACTTGCACTAGCAGTTCTGTTATTCACCAAAACCTGCACAGAAGATTACTACCCAACTTATTTCCATCTGAACAACAAATTAAGGACTAACAATTTTACAGGCTTCTCTACGTGTTGCAGAGAACACCAAGTGTTAATTCATATTTGTACTGTTAAATGTCTAGGTAAGTCCCTTGAAATGCTTATTTTTCCCATGGTTAGCCTGTAAATTCAAACTACCACGAAGACAGTCACCAACCCAATTCTAGTTCTTTAAGACATTTCTTTTTGAACAACCACTTCAGCAAAATTGGTACTGACCACTGAATGAATAGAGTTTTCTAGGATCCAATGGGAAAGACATACGTTTCATAAAGAACAAACTAAAGGCACAGATGTAAGGATGATGAAAATGTGCATACAACTACAGGCAATGTAACCAACGGGGCAGTATCAGCAACAACATTATTCCGGTACTGTGGATCCCTCCCAACTGTGTAAATGATCTGCTCAGTTTTATCAGCAAAAAACACACACCAAAACTACATAATCAGTCATAGAAATCAAATATATACATCAACAAAATGTTTTTCGTGTAGTAGTTGCATCATATATTCATATGTGAGATACTTTCACAGGGCTAAAATACAGAGATGAAGAAAATAGCTCAAAATATCATAAGCATGCACATTTATAAAAATAGAGATTGAGAGAGAAGCAGTCAGCCTTCTTTACAGTTTAAATCTGTAATGAGTGACATACCGTCTCCCCTTTATTCAGAAATAGCTTGGAAATTTCAATTCCAGCCTGAAATGCACAAAACAAAGATGATCATGGCCAAACATAAATGTCAGATAGAAAGGTAGAACAAACTGGGAAGGCAAAAGCAAACAAACCTGTACTAGTCCTCCAAGATTGTCTCTAAGATCCAAAATGAAATATGAAGCACCCATATCTTGAAGTCGCTTCATTGCTGCAGTGGAGATTATTTCTATTAATCTAACAGAGTATGTAAATAAGAGAAGCAGAAGTCAACCCCATGAACATAGTTAAACTAATATTAGCATCACAGTTTCAAGCCACAAGACAAAGGACATCAATAGTAAGAGAAACAAAACTCTTAAATCATCAAATGCAGGATAACTATGAACAGAGAAAAAATATACTTTTACATGCTTCGATAGCTTGTCTCAAGAAGTTTGTTTAAAAATAGAAGCAACCATTGACCACCAACATGTCATAAACACTTGTATTACTTTTTCTGTGCTCAAAACAATTCAACTCCTATTATATAATAAAGTTGGCCCATCAATTTGCTTTGTTTATCACTATAACTTCAATTCCGGAAGCAGTATGCATGTGACAGTGTGAGGGAGAAAGAGGGAGGGTAATACACAGTCATATGGCTCATATCTCGCACTAATTTTCAAAAACTAAAAGACACATAAATAATAAAATAAAGTTTATGTTGTCCATCACAAACATGTTTATAGGAAATAGCAATCAAGTAACATCCACTAAAATAATAAACATTACCAATGAGCAAATCTTTTCTAGCCAAGGCGTTGAACTCTTTTAGCCTCATATACCCAACAGAACTGGGGCCATTACTAACTTGTTCCAACCGATAGAAAACAGGTGTTCGAGCAACAAGTTGTCTTTGGATTTCTAGGGATTCAGTAGGTCCACAATTGCCATGCCTGACCTAAAATTGAGAGTGGATCATTCATGAAGAAGGAACATCGGTAAAGGTTAACAATGAACTGTTATATTCACAAGGGTAATGAAAAGCACAACCTTAATGGTCACAAAGGTTTCATTAGGACCTTGTAATAAAGATGATACTTCAAAGGCTGATTTCCCCATGACATTTTCTCCATTAACAGCTAAAACTTCATCTCCCTATCAAAAAGAAATTACTAACATTAGGACACGTATCAACCATGCACATGTACACCACAGAGAAACATTAAATCAACACTTGCATATAGAACCTTCCAATTTCGATGCAAAATACAAGATAATAATTTATCCTATTAAATAAGTTAGGCACCACCACTTTTCACTCTCCAGTCTCCATAGTATCATTGTTCTCCTGCAATCACTCTCACCCCCCCCCCACATCTTGGATTTGTAGTTCTCAACTCACTGTTTCATCGAATACCATTCAATCCAAAAAAAGAAAGAAAGAAAGTTTATACCTGTGACTTGGACATTCATGTAAGTCCATGTAATTGTAAAACTGGGATATTAGAAAAGGGGGGAAATAGCACCAAGTCTAGCTAAGCAGTAACCAAAATATCAAAATTTCTTTTTTCTAAAGATAAATAACCAGGAAAAGGTACTCAAAATAAATATGTTGTTTGTTGTTACAACCAACCAGAAATTGACCAATGAAAGTATTGCAGTTACACTACTACGGATATACTCTACCTGTCTTACTCCCGCAGTATGAGCAGGTCCATCCAATATAAGTCCTTGCACCTTCAGTTTTACGCCTCCAATAGCATCTGAAACTTCCCTAATGTTTATTCCAATACCAGTGATGTCATACCTTGCCATCTTCGAGAACTTTCAAAGGTGACAAAAAAGTGACCCGAAATGTCAATAGCCATGTAAACTGGGGGGGGGGGGAAACTAAAAAAATCCATCAGTAAAATGCTTAAAGCTTTAAGGTTATTAGTAAAGAATTACCTCGGGTGGTGAGAGGAATCGCGTGTAAGGGTCGCCTAAACTTGCCAGCATTCTTTTGATTAACTCGTGAGCCTTAGACCTCGTTTGAATCGAAGTCCCTAAAATATCCTCTCTTTTTTGCTTCGACAGTCGAGTAATATTTTTTTTAAAAAAAGTTGAAATTTAGCCACAAAAAAAGAAGATAAGAATAAAAATTTACCTCCCATGATTGAGGAGACCAGCGGTGGCGAACGGTATCAAGAAAGCTATCATTAACAATCTGCCAAGCTTCTTGTACGATTTCTTCGTTGGTGACGAATTCAGGTTTGAGCTCAACCTTATCTTCTTCTTCTTCTTGTAGTTGTTCACCTTCTCCGGTGCAACGATCGGGTAGCGAAGTTGAAACCTGAGGTGGTCGAGGAGATTGAAAAGACTGCGAATCTCTAGAGAGGGAAGGGGATGGAGAAGAAACTAAGAGACTTAAGGAGAGAGCACCGGTAAGTGCGGTGACCAGGGTTTTCTTGGTCCAAACGCCGGCGCCTGTGGGAAATGAAGGTGGTTTCTGAGGTGGCGTTGGGGTGAGTGAAGGTGGAGAGTTGAAGTTGCAGAGTAGGATTCTCATCCTCCTTTCGGATATTAAAGAGATTGGGTTACAGTCACTGCTCACTGTTTATTAGAAGCTGTACATAAACTATTTGCATGCGCGCGTGTGAATTCAAAGATGGAAAATAAAAAGTGAAAATATTTAATGACTAATAAATTATTATATTTATTAATACGAGGTAAATATAAAATTTTAGGGTAAACTACGAAAATGGTCATTCATGTTTATGGTAGTATTCGTTTTCACCTTTTATGTTTAAAAAGTCACAAATCAGTCACTAACGTTATTATTTGTTATAAAATATCATTCGACGTTAACAATTGTTAGTGGACGTAACGGAAATCACAGCTTGTTGTTGAGTTGAATCGTTGACTGCCACAACTAACCCATTTTGACTGGCTCTTCTTCTTCAACCCCACCTACATCTCCCTCAACCTAACCAAAAATGCCTCCAACCCCACATTTGTCTAAACAAGGCGTAAAACATCTCTCACCCAACATTTGTCTAACCAAGAATGCCTCCAACCCCATCTTCTTTTCCCTCTCACCAAAACTCCATCTCTCACCCAACAAATCCACGCGTGTATCGTCCTGTATGGGTTCAACGGCTCCGTCGTTTTCAGTTCCAGGCTCACCGACGCCTATATCCGTTTGGGTTCTCTGCAATCAACCAAAGGTTTGTTCCAGGCTCACCACATTCGATTTCTTATTGCTTTTTTGCGGTTCTTAATTTTCATGTGTACATATAACTTTGTAGGTTTTCTACTTTGAAGCTTGTGTGTCAGGAAGTATCTTTGAGGGTCTCCTTCCTGAGGGTTTGAATATCTATGCCACTACAGCATCAAATGCTGAGGAGAGCAGTTGGGGAACCTATTGTCCCGGAGACTACCCAAGTCCTCCCCCAGAATATGACACCTGCTTGGGAGATTTGTACAGTGTCGCTTGGATGGAGGACAGGTCAGTATTCAAGCATGTTGATTATTTAAGTCCTTTTCGTTTATCCATGGAATTATTGAATTCACAAGTATTTCAAAGTTGAAGCTGATTGTCTGGATCTGTTTTCTCCAGATTTAAGCAAGTTTTAAATAAATCAACTTCAGTTTGTTTCTTGGCTACAAAGTGGGTGTTATACATGTAAATTTGATTCTTAAGTGTGATCTAAGACTAAAGTAGATATCTTTTAAAACCGAGGAATGAACTTTTGTTTTGTTTCTGTTGAATTTCATCTATTGGTGTGAATCCTAATACTGTGTTTCTGTTGAGCAGTGACGTGCATATTTTGCGGACAGAGAATTTGCACCAGCAATATGAAGTTGTAAGACTTTTTACAAAGTGTTTTTGCATGAACTCTTTTCTTTTATATGGTAGTTATCGATTACTGTTTAGATCTAAGAAATATGAAAATATATCGAAAAAGCGACAGGCCTAAACTCTTGGTCTGTATCGTTCTCTATGGGTTCAACAGCTCCGTCGTTTTCGGTTACAGGCTCAATGTTTGTTCCAATGTTTAATTGCAGACTTCCATTGTATGGATATGTACTTGAATTTTGAAATGTGGTTTGGTTGATTTTGGAATGAAATTATTTGAAGAGGCTAGTGAAAGGAATGTGGTTTTCTGGGGTACGATGATAACGGATTTACCAAAAATGGGAAGGGGTCGGAGGCTATTGCCTTGTTTAGACAAATATTGCAGCAGACTTTAACTCCAAACTCTGCTACCTTGGATAACATTCTTGGTTAGTGACGTAATCGGTTTTCGTTCAGGTATGAATTTTCTTGGCGGAAAAATATAGTGAATAAATAAATGGTTTTAATGAAAATATTTTGGAGTCGTCATCGACCTTTTGGATTAGATAGGTCGAATACCTAAAAATCATCTTTTAAAATAGTTTTTAAGAAAAAAACTATTTAAAAGAAAAACCGGTCTGCGTGTAACCAAAAATTTATTATTTTTAGTAATAAAAAAAGATTTGTGGTCGGTTACGTTTGGGAAGTATTAGCACCCCCACAACGCCCAGAATTGATACCCATCGATTATAAATTGTCTCTAGTAATAGAAATTTAAAAATTCGAATATGAATTTAATTTACGATCCTGTTATTTCAGATTCAATTATATAAAATTCTAAGGAAAAAATATTTTTTATAAAATTAAAGTAAATATATACATATATACTTAGGGTTTTATAAATAGGGTATTTATTTATTTAAAAATATCATAAAATGACATATAGTTACTTTAAGACACCCCTTTATTTAATAGTAAAAAATAAATAAATATTAATAAGAATATGATAATTTTTCCTAAAAAATAATTTAAATAAAACAAAATTAAATATAATATTTTATTTATTTAAAAATATCAGAAAATGACATCTAGTTACTTTAAGACAGTCCATTTCTTAATATTAAAAAATAAATAAATATTATTATTTAATTAATTGGTGAAATTAATCAAATAATATTTACAAATCTTTCATATATATATATATATATATATATATATATATATTAATATGACTAAAATAAAATAAAGATAAATAAAGAATAATAATTAAAGTACTAAAATAAAAATATTGAAAAATAAAGGATAATAATAAAAATAAAAGAAAATTTCAATAAAAATGACCAAAATAAAAGGAATTAAAAGCTATAGGATTAAATTGTAAAATATAAGAATTAATGGACATAATTTGAAATATCATAAAATATAAGTATTAACAATGTAATTTAGCCATAAATATTAATACGAGATTAAAATAAAAATTATTAAAATTATAAGGGACTAAATAGGGTATTTACCCTAAATATTTATAAGTATAGTGCAGTGACTAAAATATAAATGAAACAAAATTAGAAAACCAAATTAAAATTCACAAAAACATACTTCAATGACTAACATTAAAGTTTACAAAACATAAAAGATCGCAGATATAGTTTTCCCATGTGGGAAATTACATAAGCACCCCTCACCAAAAATGCATCGTTTGCGGAGGAATTTAAATACCCTTAACCCAACCGAGAAAGGCTCCAAGCCTTTCATTTTCTTTCTTTTTTTCTCTCTCTTTCTGAGAGAGAGATAACAATTCTCTCTGCCTTCTCTCTAGGATTCCCTCGCCGGAGAGAATCCGGCCACCGTTGGCCATCGTTTTTCGGCGCCTATCGTCGCCGTTGGTCACCGCTCATGGTGGCCAAAAAATATTAAAACACCCCAAATGAGAGATCCGAACGCCCTAAGGCCGATTTCGGTCTCCGTTTCCCCTAAAAAGCCCCAAAATTACCTAGATCTAGATTTATACCTTCAGTATTTTTGTTTCCCGAGGACGCGTAGAGGTTTCGACAGTTCAGTAAGTTCTCGATCTCTTCTCTCTTTCTTTTGGTTGTCTTCATTTCTGTTTGGTGTATGGTTATTCGTCTCTTCGTGTTTCCTTCGTATTTTGTTTGCTGTTGGTCGTTGGTGGTTGCTTGCTCTTCGTGGTTGCTGTTTTTCTTGCAGGTTCGATGGATGACTTTTATAGCCACCACAGTGTCCTCCTCGGATCGGGTAATAGAGGGAGCGCCTTGGTGAGTCACCGAACTATGGTAGTGACTCACCCCTATAGATGCAATGTGGAGGGGCAGCTGTCTTCGGGAGTCTTCTGGCGAGACTGGCGTCGTGACAGATGAGCGTCGACGAGGTGGTGGCAGCAGAGGCGGCGGCCGTGTGGCCCTAGGGTTTCATGCTGGATGTATATGGACCGTTGGATCAAAGCCAGATCCAACGGCTAATAGATGCGGCGGTTGTAAGCTGAGATGATGAAACCCTAGTTGGGTTTAGGGTTATTATTGGGCCGGGTATGGATCTGGTCTAGATCGGGTCTGGGCCTTTGGGTTTTTGGGTCGGATCTGGGATCCATTTGTAATTGGGCTCCGAGTTTGGGCCTGTAATTATTGATAATTTAATAATAATAATAATAATAATAATAATGAAATATTATTATTAATAATAATAAATAAAAAAACAAATGGACGAAAAAAAACTAGTGTCTTCAGTTAGGTTGGGGAAGAAGATGGGGTGGGGTTGAAGAAGAGCCGATCAAAATGGTTTAGCTGTGGTGGTCAATAATCTAACTTAGCATATAACGATCCAACTGTGATTTCCGTTACGTCTACTAACGACTGTTAACGTCTAGTGACCATTTTATAACAAACGATAACATTAGTGACTGATTTGTGACTTTCTAAAAAATCAGTGGCGAAAACGAACACTACCCCAAACATGAGTGACCATTGGCGTAGTTTAGCCAATTTTTTTTTAAAATATAACTCTAATGATATTGAATTTTCCCACATTTGACATCTTTATTATTCGAACTCAAAATATTAAAGAATAATAATAATTCTTTTACTATTAAAATCAGTTTATATGTGCTAATGCCTAAATTAATTTCTAAAGAATAGTACTATTTTTTCACTTTGATGTTTTAAGATTTTAAAAAAAGAGTAAAGACTTTGATATTTTTGTCCGATTATTTAGATATTATTTTTTAGTGATATATATATATATATATATATATATATATATAATTATTATATATAAAATTAATTTTTTATTATAAAAAATTTAGAAATTTAGAGGCATTTATTTTTTATATTCATATTTTGATGTGTTTCATCTAAAAATTTATATAAATTAGTTGAATCATGAATGGGCTGAATAAATTATATATTAATTTTTCAATTGACATCACTTATAAATTCAATCACTATTTTTTCTTCTTTTTAAGTAAGAATTTAAAATGAACATAAAATAGTGCTACACATCATTACAAAAAACATTAATTTGAGTTCGAGGAATATAACGTGACCTTGATTGGGTGGCCGCAATCGTGTTCGAGAGGATAGTAAGCTGAAGAGTAGTTACTCGTCTTGGCTTAATAATGAAACTCAGCCTACAAACTATCCAGTTTGTTTATTTAGATAACTTTTGATGATAAGTATTATAATTTAATTCTTAAAAAATATTTTATTATTATTCAGATTTGGTTAAATTATGTATTTAGTATCTAAATATTGATTTTGATCCGTTTTAGTATCTAAACTTTCAATTTTTTCAAAATCATACATTTTTTTGTTTTCCTTTAGTACATCGCCATTAAAACCTTAACGGTATTACATTTTTTATAGGTAAATTATATCATTAATTACTCAACTATCTTCTCACTCCCATTTCGGTACTATTTGAGCCTCACTGGGTTTGTTCGTTTGAACTGACCATTAAAAAGTTGACTGGTTTGGCAAGGGCAGATATGGCTTTAGAGTCCCAAATGCTCGCAAAACCAGGGTAAGTGGAGTTTGGACATGAGCCTACCTTTTTAAACATGTAATTGTTTTTAATGTGAGAAGTTTTAGGATGTTTTATACTTTATTGTGAAAGAAGTCTTGGGGTGGCATTTATGTTTGTTTGGTTCACTAACAATGTAATTATGACGTGTTTTTATGGGTTTGCTATTTTTCTCTTGCGAGTTTTGCAGTGAAGCTGTTGTTACCGAACATAAAACATCCACAGTAGGTTTAGTTGACGGGGTTTCTTCATTGTCACAATGTTCGGGATACCACTCTGCTTGGTTGGGGGCTCCAGGTCAAGTATCAATGGTTGATATTGTGAAGATGGGCAGGCCAAAAAACAAGGCTTCTGTCATACCAAACCCACCTCATCAAAGTGTTAATAATTGGCATCTTGCAGTACCTCCTTCAGCAGCAGCACATCCCAATTTACATTCACCACATGATCATGCTTCCAAGGTGTCATATGTTACTAATGAACCCAAAATCACCACAAACCAACATAGTTCTCCAAGTGATGAATGTCCTCCCATTGACATCCCTTTTGCTGTCAGTGTGAACTCTATCTTAGAAGCACGTGCAGAACCTCGATTGTATGCAGACGCATCTAAATTTCCTGTGGATAGAAATAACCAAGACATAAAAGCTGAATTAGAGGAAGCTCGGGCAGGGGATGGTGGTCCTATTGAAACTGTCAACTCTAACCATGTCCAGTCTTCTATTTCAAGTAGAAATATACAAGAGGATGATTTTGGAGGCTCATCTCTTTATGATAATAACTTACATACCGGTTCCTATCAGCCTCAAAGGCATGCTTTTGAGAATTATGAAGGTTAGTGTTGTGCTTTAAGGCACCCAATCTTTTGTGATTATGATGAAGGTTACCTAGTTCTTTACATGAATTAATCACTTATGATTAAGGCAAACAATGATTGCAATTTTGGAATTTTCTTTTAAAATCCATTTCTGATTGTCTTGCAATATCAGTATTTA